TGCACTTCCCGACTAAACACTGGCAGTTGACGACTACGACGACTTTCATCCCATACCCATTCAGGAACTACTTCGAATATCCTCTTAACTCGGCTGCCAGACTTCAAGTTGGAGCACCAGACGAACGAACGAACGGACGGACAACGGACAAACGTCACGTCCTTGTCACCAATGTTCGTCGAAATGTCCATCTGACTTGTCACCGCGTCGGACGTGAAATGGTTTTTTTTAAAAGATAGAATAAAAAAAACGTCTCGGACTACCGCGGCTCCTCGCTTTTGGCTCCCTGACCCTATTAAGCGAAGGTATCTGATGGATTGTCTGTCTGTATGCTCTAGTGAAGTTTTTAAGTTGAATTCAGACTTTGCTTCTACCCTGGCAGTGCGCAGCAGACTCGGACTCATTTATTTTCGCGTCGTAAGTATGAGGTTACTTCGAGCGTTGCTACTACATCTATTGTAACAAACCCTCAAGTTCAAGTCAGGGATCTCTTCTACTTACCCCAGTAGCGTGCTTCTTCTCGCATCTGATATCAGATTATTTCGAGTGTTGCTATTATATATAATTCATATGAGCGTCTGCAAGTTCTTTTCGCGTCTCATGGTTGATATATCAAGTGCACAAGTCAAGTTCAACGCATGCAGATAATATTAGACAGGGCCCATGGCGAGGTCATCATATGGGCGCTCTTCTTTTCGCGTCACGTCCGTTTTGGTCAGTATCACATGGCTTGTTCGACATGGGTCTAGCTGGGCACCTAAGACTGGCTAGTTGTAGCATAAAATGGTCAAAAAACAGAGCGAGATAAAGGTTGAACTGATGGACTTCACACATGTAGTTTTAGCCTTGGACTAAATCACTTTTCCACAGCCAGCTAGATGTTTGAGCAAGTCAAATTTTTATCATTTGGATAGTTCACAGTTATACTATAGAGTTTGCCGTACATGGCTAATGCGCGAGACACTGGACTTGTCAGAGGTTTAACCTGATGCAACCTGACCACCTTCCCACATCTTTTCATGCAACAAATACTCGTCGGCTATACCCAGTGAATACATTACAAGAACACGGACACAGCATGCGTATGTACTAGATATTTCGGAGTTGTTTGTGGAGAACATACATATCGGATATTCCCGGCGGGGTTCAAAGTCGTCGAGCTTTACGCGTTATGTCATCCCCACATCTCTTTCTGATCAATCAAACTTACAAGAACAGCTTTGCCCCACTCGTTCTAACATTTGCCGAATGGCTCGCACAAAGCAAACATCCCGCCGCAGGCCACAACATCTTGGCAAGGTACTCCAACCTCACTTCCAACCTCACTTTCAACCTGTTCGCGCACAGCATCGTGCGATGGTGGCAGCAAAACCTGGGGCAGAATCTGGGGCAAAACCTGGGGCAGAATCTGGGGCAGAATCTGGGGCAAAATCTGGGGCAGAATCTGGGGCAAAATCTGGGGCAGAATCTGGTGCAAAATCTGGGGCAAGACATGTCGCCATCAGTAGGGCACTTCCTCAACCCATCCGTGCTTTCCGCATTCCTGTCTCTAAGGCTGAGCTGCCTATGGCCCAATGGGACGCACGCGCGCCGCACAGGATCCACTATGGCGTTCCGGAACTGATTAACTATGGTGCAAGGGATTCCAGTCAGCTTGCGTGTTTGCGGGTTCCTGCTGTAAAGGACGGGAAGCTTATCGGCTATGTGCCACTCCCGAGCAGATATTTGTCATCATGGCTTTATCTTTGTTACTGTGTAGAGCACTGGCTCGCCATATGGAAATGTTGGGATGGTGAGTCGAAGAAGAAGCAGAGGAAGACGAAGAAGACAAATATAAAAATACAACGAAAAAGGACAGATCTGATTAACACCTCTCGCAAGAATGCTGGTGCACGTTTCCTTCAAGCTATGGTTGCCAGGAGAATGGTGTTGGAGGAGTGTATTGCAAACGGCGTGAATGATGACCGGATTGAATCACTCGACGAGTTCCTCATTCGCAACTATCGAGATTGGCTATTCCTTGAGTTCGATGAGTTGCCTGACGACGCCCACAAATATTTAGAAGCGGATCCGTTGTATGCGAGGAACAAGAAGCTGTTCGGTAGGCGTTCCCGATGCGCACGTGTGCATACGCACTAACTTGTGATAATCTCAGAAACGGGCTGGGACGTAAAGGAGGATAACATCTCATTGAGCATTAGTCAGGCGGGCGACGCATGGATGCTAGGGGGGCTTGACCTGACAGAGATGTTCAAGAAAGAGATGAATTTAGCCCTCAAGGAGCTTACCAAGGGAGGGGAGATGGTCGACATCACACATGATCAAAACGCGGAATTGCCAGACAAGTGGCATGAGTCCCATGAGCCTCCAATCCGATTTATGAGCGAACGAAAGGAGGAGTTTATACGCAATGGTCTGCAGTAGATTAATTCTGGTTTCTGCCTGAACTAACCTGTCTTGTGTTGTCTTGCAGGATTCACGCTCGATGAACCCTTGGTCTTTTTGTACTATTGCTTACAGGACGATGAGGAGATCGAACGTGAAAGCTTCCTCAGAGAAATTATGGACATGCTGCCCAACGATGAGACGCGACAACAGTGGTCGTTGCGCGTCGACAAGCTGTTTGATGGCGAGATGAAATGGGACGACTTCAGTAATCTAGTGGGCGATGAGTTAGATTTGGAGCTCGCTCAGCGGGTGAACAGCATGGGTCCAGGTACGTGCATTCATGACGTGGGACTACATACCATACCTTGATTCAGATGGTTTAGAGTCTGATAACCCGTTTCTAAAAATGGATGCAAGAATTGCGGTGCGAGCTTACCTGCGCAACTTGCAAAACAACCCCAATAACGCTGCCGACATATTTCGTAAAAGTATCAGTCGATTTTCTGATCCAGATGCGAAGGATAGCAAGCTGTGGGGTTGGGTTATGAAGAAGGTCAAAGCCAACACGGTGATCACAACGCTGCAGTCAGCGCATAGTCATCGTTTGAAATGGTTGAATAGTCGCAAAGGTAAGGTTCTTGCTTGCTCCATGTACCCACCTCACATTTGATTCATTGAAGGTAAAAGGAGTGTCACGCTGCCGAACGCCACCGGCAAGACAAATCATGTACAACAACACTCCAGCGCTTCTGTGTCTGATACTCGACCGACGCCTCCTGCTGACGTTATGTCATCCGACATGAATGTAGATCAGGCAGAGGAAACATCAAGGGGACATAGTTTTGATACAGAGAACAACATTGTTCTGGACAGGGGACAACATTCTGGAGTCCAGAGTCAGGGGGATCCGCTCACTACATCAACCACCCCTCCTAACCATACTCCTGATGCCATGGTTGAATATCAGGATGATTCACCTTCCACTCCAGCACAAGAAGATGACCAGTTGACTGGAGACGATGACATCGCCCCAGAATCGCTCTTCTCCTTAGTGGCTATGCAGCAAGCCATTAATGCCTTCAGTTGCGACGGCATTTCTTTCAATGAGTTGCGTAACATATTGTTAACCGATACTCCACTCATCCATGTAAACACGATACACGAAGCCCTGCAAACACTCAGTCCTGAGCGTGCGGACAAGAAGACGCTTCAGACGTTGCTCAAGACCTTGTTAGGAGAAGAGGCTTTGGCAAAAGGAGCTGTCGACAGAGCCTCCATGAACTGATTATCACATGCCTATGATTTACCCATTGTTGCGTGTTTGTAGCATCATACGAGCATCATCGTCTCTGATTCAATGAACCCCAGTTCTTTTTGTAGTGACTAAAAAAACAGACCTAATGTTCATTCCTCACATTGTACATGTATATGATCATTCTTTGGAGCGCTACTTTTGATGGATACAAGCAATGCAGTGCTCTCACGCGCACAGACTGCACAGACTATTGGGCTTACTAGTTGCTATGTTTAGCTAGAAGTTGTAAAGTGAATCACAAATAACCGGGAGCCGTTATTTGTGAGGTATGCTCGACGTGAGATATGAGTATGTCTGTGGTCACTCCATCGAGTGGTGAAGACTGAAGACTAGATACGAGGTTCACCAGTTAGGGGAGGGGCTTCGGTTGGTGTTCGGCTTTGGCCGAGAGCCAAGAAGAAGAGAGTCTGATGTCTCCGAAAGACGAGAAAAGATCGAAACGATAAGAAACTTTGATGTTATGATCAGTGCCGCGAGTCACGTGACACGTCAATGCTCGATGCAACTGATGCGAAGGCAAAGCGAGAGCAATGAATTGTTTCGATCAGAGAAAGCTGAAAAGGAGACAGCCAGACGTCAAATAAGCACAAAACCGAAGTCCTCGAGTGTGAGGTATTTGAGAGGGTTTTCAGAGCACGACACTACCCATAACGAGCACGGCTCACAAACAGTCGTGCCTGGAAAACACGACTCCCCAACTAGCAGACTTGCGAGTGAATGACGGGAAGAGCGAATTTGGAAGCGGTAGGACCAGCGTTGATGGTAGGAATTCCGGGTTCACGCTTGCTGAATGGCACAGTTGATTGACGAGTGAAAGGCCATTGGGTAGAAGGTATGGAATTTGGTGAATCCTTGTGATGTCGCGAGCATCCCCGACGTTCTAGAATGAATTGGGTATGAGCACAAAGTCAAATGGAATCATCACCGAGCGCGGGTGAGCACATTCTGAGGTTTTATATTTTGGGCAAGGATGGTAGTAGTGCGAAAGGCCCTTGGCCAAACGCGGCCAATGCTACTCAATGTGATCAGTATATTACGAGCAAAAACCATCTCCTGACTATTGAATGTCCGAACGAGGTCACAGTGTCCTGCGATTGACAAGGCCGGTAGTGCAGAGATATTAAATCTAAAATAAACTCTAATGACATAGAGATGTTAAGGTTGACGCAAGAGTTGAATGAACAAATCGAATCACTGCACTGTACCGCTCTAACTCGTGTCGAGTTAGTATTGTGAAGGTACACAGTTAATTCAAGGGTTGACGGCACTCGGGGATACGAACGTTGTATCCGGACTCATGCACAACCATCTACAGTCCTACCTTGGAGTTCCCGGAAATGAAGTACTACACACGAGTACTGTACGCTTGGCGGAGTGCTCGGTCCAGCTCAACCAACTAGAACATGTCACCGACCCCGACATGTGGCAGACAAAGCTGGAATGTAGAATAGACCTCAGGGTGGGCACTGGAGTAAATTGAAACTCAGCCATCTGTAAACGGAAACTTGAAATTTGTTTACAAGCAACTTCGACATCAACAACAAACCTGAAAACAACATCGAAGGTGTTCTTGAAAACAACTTTGATCGAACATATATCTTGTGAAGGTTTTCTGATGAGGGCTAGTGGGGTCAGTCTTGTTTCTGGTTGCTATCACTTTCATACTTATGCATGGACCTTGCAGTATGACGACGTTATCGGCAAGATCCATTTGCAGATACTCATCGACATGGGTCGCAATCAGCTGGCTGTCATATGTGGCTACAAGGACTGGAAAGAGTGGAGAGAGTCGAAGGAGGTATCAACTTCAGGAGATAAGAGAGACATGCACGCTGCGATGATAGCTGAAGCAAAGGCGATTCTTCAAAAGCAGGATTCCAACGTCTCAGAATCTTGGAAGGTTGTTGGACAGCAGCACCTGGCTCTCAGATATATCATTAATGGCCGCCGCATGAGGGCCCGTGAAGAGGTTGTAGAGTACACTGCAACAAGGGAGGCTATCCGGATAGCTGTTTCGGACATGGCCTATTCAGAAATCACCAGAAACATGGGGGTCATATTTGACGCAGTTTTTGACGAATACGACGAATAGCCACGAAAAGCCTTTAAATAACAACTTCTAGATAGCTGAATTGTAATACGACCGGTCCTGCATATTTAAGACAGTCATCTGCGATCTCGGGCAAATCATCTAGCATGTGGACTCTTCAGCTCATAATCAAAGTCGTCAGCAAAGGATCCTGATGGTTTACCTCAACAGATATCACACATCTACATCTCACTGTCTGTCAGGTATACCTAAGAGTCCTTGACTCCACTCGCCCTTAGTTCAAATACGTTGGCAGTCACATGTAGCATCTCTCCAGTCACATCTCGGATCACCATATTTCTATGATCACCTGTGGTGCCTGCTACTTTTTGCTCTTCTTGGAACACAACCAACATCATCATATGCCAATCGTCGACATGCAAAATGTTATCAGGATCTTGGATAGGAGGTCATCTCATTTTTACTTCATAACAATCCAACTAATTATACATAGTCATGCTGTAGAATCGAAGATCATTTCACTTGCTCTCGCAGCTTAATTGCACTTGCTTCAACAACAACAACAACAACAACAACAACAACAACAACAACAACAACAACAACAACAACAACAACAACAACAACAACAACAACAACAACAACAACAACAACATCACAGCCATATCAAGGCAAATTCGAGACTCTACGAGGCACAGTACACATTCCCTTGAAATCCATTTCAGACTGAGCATCCACTTTTAGTTCTGATATCGTACTTAGCTCGTAATTTTGAGGCGACATCGTTCTTCGTAGAACACAACGAAATAGCATAAAGAAGAGCATAATCTACGTACCAGTAGTTAGAAAACTTGCAATTGGGGTGTGCTTGATCAAATTCAAAACGGAGCAAGGTCATAAGTTCGCACAGCGAACCCCTAGTTCATTCACTTGAATACCTATTAACAAGCAATAGCTATGTTCGATATCCCGGTACTGATGATAGTGACTGCTATGGGATGAAATACAAACCATCCTGGGACACAGATCCTGCTCGCGACAAGATTACAAGTAGTCTTGATTTGGTCCACTCTGGTCGACTCCCGACATTTAGTTGATCTGCAGTGAGTCCAGCTGTTGCGAATGCTTGGTTTAATCTGCATCTGTGCTCATCGACGCCCATCAAGCTTCATCGTCAACCATACACTCTCCAGTAAAGTAGCTCCAATCTCTCTATGCACGTGAACCGCATACTCCTCGTGTTCATCGATACATATGAGACGCGAGTATGTTGATATCGTCGGTCGATGCGTTGATTCATAAATCACGTATCTATTTTTCTTTCTTCAACATTACTCGCCAGCAGGGCAGCGTCATTCCAAAGGCGATCATATTAAACTAATTATCTAGATGTATTCTAGGCTAGAAAAGAACCACTCTTTCAGTATTGGATTAAACATTTTTCGACAACCTAAGATACGATGCTCTCGAAACCTCAAATGGCAGCTGCAGTGTTTTGAGTTTTCTTGCTTATGTAAGGATGAGCCCGCGGTTTACTTAATCGCTCACTCAACGTTCCACCTTCACCATATCGTATCATGTATCCAGTGGCGAAGTATTGTGCACACCTCTTTGTCAAAAGAGGTATGTTCTGGAGCCATCCAGACTCGATGATCTGCACCCAGCATCCTCCTTTCCTGTCAAGGAGAGGCATGTAGGCCGACAGGTCTAGGCGGGAAATACAGCATTCTTACATCATGGAGTTATATTTTATCTTTCCAGGCAATTGTACGCACCTCTCTGTCAAGGGAGGCATGTTCCGGAGTCATCTAGACCTATCTGTACTCAACACCTTCCTTTCTTCTCAAGGAGAGGCATTCCAGGCTGACAGGTCTGGGCAGGACATACAACCCCCTTACACCATGGGGTTCTATCTCCTGCCAAGGGGAGGTCAGGCTAGGGTAGTAGAGCACTCTATTGTTCCCCTGATTTCCATGAATGTCACATCACTCCTTTGCAAATCTTATGCTGAGTCTATACTACCCTTTGTGTCTTACTCCGATTTCACCAGTGTATGACGAGAGCCGTGACACTCATCAGGATGTTTTTTGTTGGTTCGTTAAGGGCATTGACTGCGGACGTTTCCAGAAGACTATCAGAGAAGGTAACCTTATCCATTACTTACACTCAGTCTCTTGACACCACAACTTTCAGGATGTATCATCGACAGCACAGATGCATCTGCTTTACACTAGGTTCCGCAGTGTCACTTCTCAGCTTTCTCCTTTGCTCCGCGAGTGAGAGCGTCGTGCCGAAGCTCATCCAGAGGACTTGTCAGCACTTCTTTCAGAATGCCATTCTGCCTATTTTGCAGCACGTAAAGGTCCACTGGTGGGACGCTTGATGGAAGAAATACGAGGGCTCGATCCAGCACACACTGAACTAGTCGAATTAGTGAGTTGCTCGTGGTTTTGCTCAGCGACTTACTCATTCAAAAATAGACAAATGCCGGTTGCAGTTATCTGAAACACCTCTGCACAGACGAATTCAATCTCTACCGAGAGTTTTTCAATTCTGGTGTGGACCAGCTCTGGTGAGTACCATTTTTGTTGTCTCTGCTTACACTCATCCACGACATCAAGCACTTATCTTGAGAACTTATGCGACTACCTTTACGATGACTTACGTCCCCGGATATTGCATGAAACTCGCCTCACAACTCTCTGCGAAGTGTGCACGGTACTCCAAGCTCTGATGGTTCTTGATGTGGCAGAGCTCCCAGAGGAGCCACCCGATGACGGCAACCTAATTGTTGATTTTGACCAGCCAAAGTCCAAAGGTCTGGGGCAACTTCATATCAGTCACCTTCTGCAGATGGTCCTTCAGGATGCACAGACCCGGTTGTTCTTCAAAGCACAGTCGGTTATCCGGGCCGACATTTGATATTACACACCGAAACCAGAAGACCTGGCGTATCCTGATAAACTCGTTAGTACGTGTATGATTCTGTCTGCTCTAAGCACTGTGTGAATGGGCACCGTCAGCCGCGCGGAAGCCTGTTTCTCAATACGAAATCAAGGAGAAGGATAGTGTCAGCCAACTTTTCCAGCTACCCTCATTAGACCAGAAGAAACGTGGTTTCCGACCTTGCAAAAGACGGTATGGGTATTATCCCAACTGCATGACTTCGTCTAGGTAGTTTCTCTTGTGCGTCTTGACTGAATGCTGAGTTCACGTAGCCCGTTATTTTTGAAGACGTTGCGCACGAGGCCGTGAGCTTTTGCCGTCAATCGCTAGTCACATCATCCAATTTGGTTGAACAGAGAAGTTCTACCGGCGTGCTAGATGGCCAATTATTTCTCGTTCGCCATCTGATTTTGAAGGAGGTTGCAAATAATTTGGATTATACTCCGAAAGATACAGAGCCGCGGTCGGATATAGGCGGTGTGACGGGTGGGTGTTTGTTCCCGACACTGGATCATCCTGTTAACTTTCTCGATTCCAGATACCTTGGCATCAGTTCTGAATCGCACGACTGCATTACTACCAGATGCTCTTTTTGCTTCATTGCGAATGTCTCGAGGACATGATACCTTTTCGGACTCTCGACATGTAAACGATGTATTTCTTTCACAGATTCTTTATCCTTGCTGACATTGACTCTTGATATAGGACATAGATCAAGATCTGAAACGTGCCTGTCAGGAAGTTATCTCGTTCTGTGCGAGATTGCCCTGTGATCCTCTACGAGAGTGGGTGGACCGTGTACAAGCATTCAACGACGCCCGCATAGCCTTCTCATCAGGGCCACAGGCTCCACTCCTTTCGGAGCAAGAATGGGCAAAGCGTGCTATCACAGACGAACGGGATTTGCGGTCATTCGTGACGAAACTGCGGCTATACCTCGAGGATGATCGGACGGTGTCTGTGCTGGTCACACATATAAAGGAGGCGATCATTGATGCTTACCTGAAGTTCCGAAATGTGGTGTGGAACATGTATGCAGGGGCGATGAAGACAGTCATATTTTCGCAAGACGGTCTGCGGGGTTATTTAAAGGGTATATGTAAGTAACGTACGCCATACTATGCTTAAATCTACATAGAGCGAGTCTTGGCCTCGAACTACTCAGACGTATTGGCGTTCATATACTCAAAGGTGCATACAGTCTCTTTGTCCCCACAGCTTCGACAAGCTTTTGCGATCTCATGAATCGCGCATATAATCGTGCTCTCTCCACAGCGTTTACAGAACTCCTGTACTTGTGCCCTTGTCGAAGAACGCAGCAAAGTCTTGACTCCGTCAAACGATATTGCAGCGCTGACGTACGAGATACAACATGTTCATTTGTATCTTTCATGCTAGGCCCTAAATGCACAGATATCTTGATAATTTTATAGCTTCTGATACATCAAGAGCAATGCAACAGAACGCACCTCTCCGCTCACTGCACCGCTTCGCCCGCTGGCTAAAGGCCTGACCTCGATGTGATAGGTGCATAGTTGAAGCAAGTGCTGCAAGAGTGCATCTGGCTCTGGTGGAGTGACAATGTGATGTCTGACAACCAATGCTGCATCCATCTATGTTTGCGTTGTAAAAGCTGTAATGGCTTGAAGTTGATATTGTCCTACCTTGACACAGAGGGTTCTTAGAGCACGAGTAAACCGCAACAGGTCAAGCAGCGAAATCCCGAGCCATTCGAGCGATGTGATGTCATCCAGAATTACGAGTGGGATTGATTTGGCCATAGGTTCTCGAGTCCGATAACTTGACTGATGGTAGATCGTAGATGTACTTTAGAGAGATAACATTCAAATGCCCCACTCCTCGATTTTGTGATGGTGGATGCTGGTCGAATACATCTATGAATTGAAAAAATTCGCTATGGGCTACATTGACGTTCTGTGAGGAAGTAAGTTACTGTTAGATCGATGAGATGGTGAAGACTGCACGTACGGCCTTTGAAGCTACTGATTTCCAGCGCTCGAGGCTTTCGGATACAGCGAGAACAATACATTTTGCGGTTTTGCTTTGCTTCAGGTGCAAGTGAAGGAACCGATGCAGTAAAAAATCAGCTGGAGCTGGAAGTTGGTCTGTGACTAAAAGTAGACGACGAGAAGAGAACAGGTCGGGGGCAGGGAACTGCATGACCGTTTGACTATCGAATCGTCTATGTATTGTTACATGCACATCATGATGTTGCCCTACCAGAGGAACCACTTAGAGTCAATTATATTTACAAACACAAACAAAGCCCTCATCCTTTTGTACTAATCGCTTCGCCGGTTTTCATAAAGCATTCTGGTATGGTTTCACTTTTAATCTGGATCAAATATTGATCGCTCATATCAGAAAAGGTCCACCTAGACCGTTGGATGTGACGTTGTCATGTCTGTGCCCAGCTTCGAGGATCTCTTCGGGTCATGTACACTGGAGGTGATAGCTCCAGATACCTCCATAAATCTTCCCGAGCCAGGAGCTGCCGATGACTGGTTAGTTGCGCTCAAATCGTCTGGTATTGAAAGAAGACAAGCGTTCTTCGGTAAGGTACAACATTTCATCGAACATGCTAGTCCAGATGCTCACCAAATGGTCGATTCAGATGACCAACTACACCTTTTCTTGATTGTGCAGATACCCTGTCCATCTGCGGACGTTGATCCCAAGGATCCACCTACATTCCTTCTCGATTTTCTTGCCCATGTGCAGGTATCGCTTGAAGCCACTTATATCTCGCAAACACCTACAACTCTCCCTGAAACCCCCCAGACTGCCCGAGTCCTTGCTCCACACGCACTTCATCTGTAGCTAAACCTCGACCTACATCTCTTCATCCTTCCTTGTTCCCTCCACATACACCAAATCCTACAACGTCTTCTACGGAGAAGGACCGCAAGTACGCACAATCCGAAGGAACTCTTCTTGTTGCTAGTATATGGGGTCACAGGCCCGCGGGTTTGTCCAAAGAGAAGCTTTCTCTTTTGTATTCAGAGGCAAAGAAAGCTTGGTTGGCTGTATATGAACTCTCCTTGACCGTGTGTGAGTGCGCGCGAGCAATGTGTCTGCCACTTCTCCTAAACACTCTTCTAGCGTTTCTTCGCCTCTCGTTCTTGGATCCTCTTCTGTCCTTGACCGTGTCAACTACATTACGAGAAAAGGCGGTTTCACTGTCACAAGCAAACCATCCATTTGTCATATTTCTGTCGGAAAGCGGCATTCTTGCTAAGCTTTCTGCTTCTGGCATAAGCTCATTCGCGAAGCAGCAAAACCAGGAGACAAATAATGTCGGGGAGGATGATGAGACCGGACTTGAGGAAGTCAATCTACTAGAAGGTCTTTCAGCTGGTAGTCTTTCGTGCCATACCAATGTTGCGGGTTCACTTACGCTTGTTCTAGGATTCAATGTTACGCCTGGCTCGGAACCACTTTGGCTTCCATCCACTCGCTTGGGAAATGTTATGCGTCGAGAGCTATTCTCTCCTTCTACCTGTGCAACCGTCATCTTCCCAACCACTTATGTCAAGCCCTAAGCGTCCACCTAATGCCACTTTACGGAAATCATTTCGCAAAATTCTCCAGACAGTCTCTGGCTTTCGGGTGAGGATGCGAACCGTTTTTGTTCCCCACATCCTCTTTCCGGAAATGAATTCAAGGACTGGCTTAAATGACGATGATAGCGATGCGCAGGAACGAGAGGCAGGGAACAACGAACGTACCGTTGTTCTCTGTGTTGAAGTCGAGAATTCTGGAGAATCAGGCTCAGGTGTTGGTTTCTCATTGGAAAGGGTAGATGTGAAAATCGGTGGCGAGGGTGCATCCGCCAAACTGATTGGTTGGGGAGAAGGGCTTTTGAGGCTGAAGTGGAGACGCACACTTTCCCACTTCTGATTGGGTCTATGGAACAGTACAATCTGTTATACGCTGTTTCATTCCTCAAGCCTTCTGCGGACTCAGATTTCTCGCTGGTCGGCCGGCGGTCTGTTGTCGTCCCTGCAAACTCAGATCTGCAGCGGGCAGGAGCAATCAATATCTATGGCAAACCTTATTTGTCGAAGACAGGGTGAGCATGACTCCGAGGACAGTGATGGTCCTACCTTGACCTACCCAACACATACATTTTCCTCTCGGTGGAACTGTATCCTGGATCTTTCTTCGAAGCCACAAGAAGAATCCTCTTGACTGTAGTGCTCGTAGTGTATTACCAGAGCCTGCGTCTCCCTTCCCAGGGCAAGCGGCTCTGGCATCTGCGATCCCGAAAGTGCAATCTGTTACTGGGAACAAACAACATACCCTTCCAAACAATATAACAGCTATACGGGCGATCAACCCGAATGCTAACTTTCGCCCGATACCATATCGCGACCAGTCTTCCGCCTCACCCATCCTTTCTAACAAACAATACACACCTCCCTCTATTACTGTACAAAGTTTCTCAAAGTCTCCGCCCACTACATACGGCATTCTACCTCCGACCACGCACCTATTAGGCGTTACTGTACCCAACGGCGGCCCACATGGTCCATCAGATTCTCAAACATTCGTGACGCCGCCAACACCTGCGTACCCTGCATTCCCTGCAGCTACTGCTCCAGCAACTTCTCACTTCCAAACGCCACTGATTAATCATCAAGGGGCGCCTGGGCCAAGTGTCGAAATCCGCAGGGAGCGTGGTCTCGGAATGACGGGAGCTTCGCCCCAAACTCCTGGACCAACTATCGTCGGTGGTATAATCGATCCCACTCGAGATACCCCAGTTACTGGTGGAGAGCCTATCATCGTTTCCATCGGCTTGCTCCCACCTCCTTCGAGTTCCGCTGCATCTAGGAAATTATACCCGTGCGATCAGTTCACGCTTGACATCTCCGTGTTCAACCAGAGCTCGTGGACCAGAAGGTTCGAAATCAGCTGCCCAGATCCAGATCGTAGACGTAGACGGAAGATCGAGCAGGAGAAAGCTGCGCGGGGCGGCAAGACGACTATCGAGGAGTTACAGAGTGTGATGATGCCCCCTGGAATACTCCCGTTGCAAAACCGCGTGCGAGTTGGGTATGGAACAATTCTGAGTGATCTTGTGCTATTGTTTGATGATGTTTCCTGAAATTACAGGCCGCTGCGTCGATCTACCTGCCAGTCAGGATGGATGGACTTCCTTGCAATGACTCCTGGCGTGCATTCGGTCGAGATTCTTAGTCTCACGGATATTGAAACGGGTTTCTCCATGGATCTGCGGTAAGTGAACGTTGAATTGGCACAGCTTAAATGCAGGAATGTTTTTCTACAGTACACAAGGATAAGCACTCGGGGATCAGAGCAGCGGTAGTAGTATATATCGCGTTGCACACGATCTCGTAGTCGGTATACATCTTTCTTTCTACCAAAACCTATCATTCAACAGTAAGGTAAAATCCCATCGAACAAGTTTTGTATTACTCACCGTGTGTTTGAGGATTGCGAACTTCAATTTCTAAGAAGCTCTCAGGGACGCTATACATTTCTTCAATCTGGGAAGCGCTTGCTTGTGTTTATGCAGCAGATATGAGATGATAGAAGTAAGGTGGGCTTACGGTCTGCTCGCGCCCGCCGAGGCGGGGCTCATCGAATGTGCTGCTACGAGCAAATGGCGACACACTGGTTGTCATGTCGTCGACGTTAATGTTGGTGCACTCTCAGTGTGAACGTTTGAACACTTCAACACAGCACATCGTCACTCACGCAGCTGTCACATTTGGTCACAATGTGAGTCAGACGTCACGTCACTCTTGTGCTGTCTCGACCATCATCTAAAGACAAAACTGTTCCCGGCAAACGTTCGCTGTGCTTATACAGTCACTCCTCACTTCGCCTGCCAAATCTCTCCCAGATCGACCAATCTCCAGAGGCGTTCGGCTTGAAATCGGGCCAATGATCTGCGCCAGGAATGATCTCTCTCAAATGACTGTGCCATTGGCAACCATTGCAAACGCCGAGAGTAAACATATTTTATCTGCGAAGAAGTGGGTAAACTCCTTCCTCGCTATGTCGTTCAAAAGCACTGAGTGAGCCCAGCCTTTCCCAGCGCCAAGCACATCTCCATAGGAAAAGCCACCACAAGCTGCTAGACCGCAGAAGCGCGAAAGTGACAGTGCTCCAGAGAGAATGTCAGACATGTGAACATCCATGGCATTAAAACCTGCCGCTGTAAACGCCCAAGCCATTTCCACATGTCCGTTGACACCTTGCTCACGCAAGATGGCAACATTGAGAGGCTTCGTGAGGGGGATAGTGTGTGCTCAAATGTGAGATCATAAAATAAACCCTTGTGAGTGTGATCCTTGATGAGGTCGAATTCCTGCCGTGCTCCGATAGGGTTGTCGCGTAGAGATTGCATACGGTACGAAGTGTCGGCCCAGGCTTATTGAATTTCCTGACGTGTGCTCGAAAATAGCACCTTGGATTCGTGATTCACAGCGAATAGTTGATCAGAAGGCTCAATGTTGACGCGCCCAATAACGTGGATGGATGTAGAAGGGAAGCCGACGTCGACAAACTCGCTCATGAGCTTATTCAGGTGGCACTCGCGTACTTGAACGACAGCTCCAAACTCCTCGTTGAAGAAGGTCGCCACAGGGTCGGAAGCGCTATGGAGGGTGTCAAGGGAGACCACAGCCCCTACCCGACCAGCGAAACATATCTCCACCAAAGTTGTGAAGAGCCCTCCGTCTGAACGATCGTGATATGCAAGTATCAAGTCAGGTTGACTCTCCTTAATCTTCTGGCACCCATTGAAGAACGTTTGCACTGTAAGAGGATTCTGGACATCTGGTGCCTCTGATCCAATCTCCTTGAAAACCTGCGCAAGCGCAGATCCACCCATACGCGTCTTGCCATGAGCAAGATCGAAGAAGACGAGCACAGTCGTTTCGTTCAGATCTGTACGCAGCTGAGGCGTCCATGTTCGTTCGATGTTGTCCACCGGCGCGAACGCCGTGACAATGAGAGACAACGGTGCACTAACTTCACGCTGCTTCTCTCCTTGCTTCCACTCCATCGACATTGACATCGAATCTTTGCCAACGGGGGATGCCGACGCCCAGCGCAGGACATAGTTCCATACCGACAGCAGCCACGGCAGCATACAATCCTGCACCTTCGCCTTCTTTAGAAGCGGCGCACATCCAGTTTGCACTGAGCTTGACACGAGAAAGGCTGGAGACGGAAGCTGCAGCCAGGTTGGTGAGTTGCCTCGCCGATAGCCATCCGAGCGGACGCAGATGGATTTAGGAGAGCAATAGGCGTTCGTTCACCCATTGCCATGGCTTCACCAGTCAGGACATCAAAGCCATATGATGACCGAGTAACAGCAACATCAGCAACTGGGACATCCACCCTGTGATATCAGGCTGTGTCAGAAATTGAATGACTAGGAGGAGCGAGCAGAACCCTATTGCTCCGTATTCGTTATTGGCCTCGGCGTCGTCATCATGACCCTGTGTTTCTGGACCTGGGCCGCTCTCTGCATCTTTTCTCCCAAACAAATGGTGGAGTCTACGGATCCCATCCCCATGATTATTCATATTATCCTCTCCTTCCTAGCTCGCATACGGACCCAGGGTTGGTACTCCAAGTGAAACTTGCCGTGCGTGATGGCAAGAGCTTCTCTTTTCCACGGAGGATGATCACATGATTTCCGTCCATCAGCATGTCATTGCCTGGCAGTGCATTTTTAGAGGAGGCCGTACTCTGAAGGACTATGGACGCAGAGCCCACGACTAAATACGAGAATGCCGGTGACAAGAATGCCGAGGATCAAGGAGAAGAAATACCAGCCATCAATCACCCCATGCACAAAGTATGTATATTACGATGCTGGTAGCGATAGGGATCAATGCGATGTGTTTGTGGAAGCCATCTCGGGCATGGATGGTCAAATTTTCTGTATCAGCGTCGAACTTGATACATGGCATGTTCAAGATAGTAACTTTATTGGCTCTCGTCTTTTGTTCCTATACTATCACGGCTCGTTGGTCTTTGCATCTTTGTATTAATAACTATGTGAGGTGACCCATTTGCTTTGATTACGTGCCGGACTGGGATACATTATTTACATAGGACCAACCCAGCTCCAGGAGTCTGCTGTTTATAGCCTCAACGATAGCGAGGTACACGCCCGTGGCGAACCCGACTTTGCGGTCATCCGTGACGTGGTACAAGGTATGTTATTACAAGATTGACGGCCCCTCTCCTGCGATTCTAATTTCAAATCCCCAACAGTTTCTTCACTTCCGTGAGCTCCCGCCACTCGTTTTCCAGGTATCTCATTGTCTCCTGCAACTCTTCTTCCCTCCTCAACGCCATCAGCGTTACCCAGCACTTATCCTCGACAGTTATCGGAAAAGGAACAGGCGGCGCAGTAGTATGACTTTGGATTCGGTATTGGGCTGTTTCGACTGCGATGTTCCACGCTCCCTTTAACTTTTTAGTTTCATAGATGTAATATGCCTATAACATACTACCGCTGAACCGCTGACAATCAGCGGGCCTGGGACATCTGGTTGGAACGCGGTCACCTGATTATAGTAATAGCTAATTAACATGTACAACTCAAGGATGCAGCGACTTACCAGTGAGTCATTATTGTTGATCTCAGCGTTGACAAATTCCATGACGTTGTGCTAGTAGCAAAGTAGATGGAAGAGTCTTGATCGATAGATGCACGCGATAGTGAGTAAGTGTCACACATCGGGCAGTAGGATTCAGTATTAGACAAGTGCATCACGTGAGAATGGGACTTGGTCGAAACTGGTCGATTTCGGAGAAATTTGGCAGGCAAAGCACTTAAATTAAATTAGAAAGCTTGTACCTGTCACTGTACTGCCAGAGTGGGCAAGAAAGGCATTCACCGTGCCCGACCTTAATCTACTTCACAGCAAGCTTTACCCAATTGCCTTCGGGACAGATGAGCCCCTGTTACTCTGTGGGCTTACCGGCTCTGGTAGGGTGAGGGGTGTTGAGTTGACCTTGCAGTTGTTATGCTTACTATCCTGAATGAGTTGTCAAAATATCGCGCCAATGAAGGCTCTTGTTCAAGAAATGGTTGGAAGCTCCAACGCGCGGCTGAACGTTTTCGGACGTGTGCCTATTCCTGTGAAGGAAGGCGTCGATAAACCTGCAGCGAAGATCAACGTCCTCCTGCAAGCATATATATATCCCAACTCGAACTTGACGGTTGGTAACGATTCATAGGCTCGTGACCAGCCTGGCATATACTACCACGGATAAACTAGTGGCGTAGCCAGGCTGGTCGATCTGGGAGTGGCGTGGCAGGGCGGAGCGAGGAGTTTGAAATTTGATAGGTGCCGGTCGTGCCGACGGTAGTTCCGATCATATAGCACAAGTTATGCTCCAAGTCTGCTCTCGCTCAGATTGTACGCTATGGTAAGTTTCAACAATGAGTTCTGTACGACCTTTATCCCTCGTTGCTCGAGATACAATTGAGAATCTCCCAAATGGACTTTACGAGTGCCCTCTCAACGACACAACAACAGCAAGTTCTCGAGGCTTTCTCGCAACTCGATCTTCTTACTCAAGGATCACAACGTCCGAAATTCATCAATGACCATTGCAATAGCAAGGGGTCGTAAACTGATGCCAATACTTAGAATTTAAATGATAACCGTTTTTAATATTTCGAATTTCTTTTTTATTAAATAAAACTAAATTAATTTTCATGCTTTTTATTATTAAATTTTTTTATTTAATATATTTAATATGTTAGATGTGAAGTTGCTCGCTCGTCCATCTCCAACAGATTCAGAAATTGCACAAGTGCCTTGCTTCCTCGCAAGAAACCTTCTCTCCAACTTCCATGGAGGGTCTTTCTGAGATTGAATACAACATGAGGTCCATGACTGTCATCTGCAATCCAAGAAGTATTTTGAGGACAGCGAGAAATTTTCCTTCGTCGTCGAGGCTGGAAGGATTGATCATCCAAGCCAAAGGTTCAGGCTGCTGATACATCATCACAGGTGGGTATAATGCATGGAATGGAATCATTTTGATTGTCCTAATCAACGATCAGTGCTCTGGCACGATGTACTGTTGTATTTGAGAGGATACTGTACTTTTCACGGTACAAACGAAAGAGTTGGCGTTGTTGACAAGAAATGTTACCCAAAGCGGCACACCGGCATCTGCCAAATTTCAAACTCCTCGCTTCGCCTGCCAAATCTCTCCCAGATCGACCAGTCTGACTACGTCAAATAAATAACATCTCAAACGTAGTCTAGACTGGTCACGAGTCTAAACGATTCAGCCGTCTACCGTATTGTGCCGATTGGATAATTAGGCTTTGGTCTCGTGGCCGATATGATCTTGGTTCAGCAATCTGCTGGCCGGTATGTGCTGTTTTAAGTCAGTTTACTCAAACTCACACATGTTACAGTATTCTTCGTGCTATGTTTGAGATTTGCCTGAAGCGAGGGTGGGCACTGCCAGCGCGTATCTTGACCTATCTAAGATGAATGTTGGTATTTTTCAATAAGGTCGTTGATCATCAACTGATTGTTATGTTTTCAGGTGGGGCTCCATGACACCGCTTCGCCAATTCAAGAGTGTTTCACAGGAGGTCATCCGAAAAGCAGAGGGCAAACGATTCGTAAGTTTGCATCAGTTCAAGTGATGCACAGCTTCCCCAAGCTGCAGCTGCAAGCGCAAGTGCAGCTTTTCTATCACCCGCTCTCTTCTTCTTATCGACTTGTTTATTGTTCCCGACTTTCGATGGGATACGGAATAGCTTAAACCTTCGTTCCTCATCATGGTTGAAGACGTCGATGGTGAGATTGTTCTTGTTCACGACTCATTTGTCTTACGTCAGCGCTACGCAGAGGATGAACATAACGTACTATCACGGTTCCGATGTTTGAGCCCGTCCCCCCGAACTACTACATATATGTTGTATGAACCGGTGGTTACATGCCGAGACTAGACCACCCATCTCCTTCAAACACTTGATTCTCCTGGAAAAGTTCCCACCTCCCACTTTTCTTCTCGAACTCCAGCCACTCCCGTCGTCTGCCCTACACAACAAGGAATTCAGGAGTATCTACTCATTCACCATTCAAACGTTCAACAAGATCCAGACGCAGGTTTTCAGGCTCTCTACATATCTGATGAGAATGTTATTATCGGCGCGCCTACTGGAAGCGGCAAGTCTATCTTTGCTGAATTTGCTCTGCTCCGCCTTCGGAACAAATGCGAGCAGCCCAGGCCGGTCTGTTTAGTCCTACCAGGAGATGGTCGACCAACGTGTTGCAGAGTGGCATCGGAAGTTCAGCAGCCTGCAGACAGCACTATATTCCTCTTCGCCTCCTGATTTGGTTCTCCTTATCGCTTACCTTTGTTCCGTCCATGGCTGTGGCATCGTCGTCTACTGAGAAAATTCTGAAGGTACGCCTTCACCGTGGTTTTGCATAATCCCCGACTTCAGTCTTACAGAAATCCATTGCACGTGTGGCCCACATTAGCCACTCTAGTGTCAGTGCTACTTCGCAGGACATCGAGGATTTCCTTCTTGACGCTGTCACGCATGAACGGAGCATTCTGGATGCTCGTGAACAACAGCCACAGTCTCCCAGTGTCGTCTTGGCTGCCAGCCAGTCAAGGAATGTCCTCGCAGGTATCTTATATCAGCCAGGCGAGCTCGGGACCTACCAAGCCTATACGACCCTCCCTGTAATTGCTACTCTGAACACCACAGACGAAGAAGACAAGGTGCAGTCAGTGTCCTCTGTGGGTGAAACGCCCTCATTCCATCACTTCCTGCCTGACTCACCTCTCAGCGCAACATCTGAGTCCTCCTTTACAATCACTCGCTAGCCATGATGTTGCTATGTTGTGCCCTTGCCATGAATACCTGACTGACTGATAGTACTCAAAATTTGTAGACATGCATGTGTGCGTATCAACGCATCAAATTTGTTGGGGTACAAATGACTGTTTTTGGTAGAAAAAAATTACACTCTTCTATAGTCATCAAGGGTACAATATGTCGAACTCATGGGTTCACTGATGGTTGTCCTGCGGTCCCATCTTGTCAGGTAAGTATCTTGATCGTGTTGCGATGCTGACGCGACTCTGATTGATAATGGTAAGTACTACCTAGTATATCCGTAAGTTGTATGTACCATTCCCTACAATGCATCCACGTCACGCCCAAATGTTGGCAAGTCTGTGGCAAGAGTTAAGCGACCGAATACTGAATCGTGAACGAGTGGACTCGGAAGTATATGAAGCCGTCATATTGCGAAAAATCTTGGATAACGTTCAAGTCGAGCCAATATTTGATAGGGACTGAGAACAATCAGTGACATTAACGCTAGTGAGCTGATGCTTTTGTTACCAACCGTCAGGTCAATCTCCATGTGGAGTCAAGGGCTAAAGCCATCGTCCTACGGAGAGTCTGAAACAATCTTTTGATATGAAGCATGAATGCTTGCAGGTGAAAATGTTCAATAACACGGACGCCATTACACTTATGTCCATTGCTGGCTCCGAAGGCAGCTTGTTATGACTTTTTCACGGCCTCATCTAGCGAGTCTATGTTGGTGACCATCCATGGCTGAATATGATAATCAAGTCAGATTTCTCGTGGTATGCAGTCATGTTCGGTAGGAGTAGAATTATGTAATCCTATTGCGATGGCTACAATTTCAAGGACTCGTGCATTCACTGATGGTCACGCTGAAAACACGATCTCCACCATTGCTATAGGCAAAAATCACGAAATGATGGACCGTCAGAAATTCATCGCAACAGATAAAACAGTCAGATACAGTATCGACGACTCTGGCCAGATTCTCTCGCACTCATTGATCTCAGAGTCTCCACAGTTCCACCAACCAAAGTCGTTCCTGCCCAGTCATGTGGATGTCTGGATGACTCCAGAGTACACCTCCCTTGTCAGGGGAATGTCCTCACCGAACAACCAAACTCTCCTAGTACCTGACGGTGTGGGAGATTGAGAAGTTTGAAGAAAAATTGAACATTGAGTGGCAAATATATACAAATCCTCCGCGCCAAACAAACCATAACTCCGGCCCTAAACATATTTTTCATGCCTGTTTGTGGTGTCTGGGTCGCACGGTTCTGAAGTTCCGGCTGTTTCGTCTCATTATGGGACAGCTGTAGAGTCCACTATTGGGCTGGTTCGCGTTCCTACCATTGGTGGTCGGTACAATTCACGGCAGACCTTTCCACCTGTCTCTCTGAGCGGATGTGACGTCGAGCTCGGCCGTGATTGGCTAGCGTTTGTGAGCGCGAAGTTTGATGGTTCTCGATTCCAAAGGCCTTCAGAAACGGACGTTGCTCGATTTTCTGATGGCCATAGTTAAAATTTCAGCCCGGTTGTATGTGTATTTCTTTGAATCGTTTTCATATGTCTGAATGTTTGTTTCTAGAATATTAATCCTCTCCGTCGTCTGTTATTACAGACTGTAATAAAATTTTAGCTACCCAACCAGGTACTTCTTCGTCATGTTTGTCTGTACATCAGCAAAATGAACATGCTTTGGACAATTTTTGGGTGGCTACGGAAGTTCATGGAGATCCGCTCTGAGTGAACGGCAGTTGCTCCCGGTCTTCAGGTAGCCTCTAACTCTTCCATGGAAAATTTGCGACAGGCTATACCTCAACATGTTAGGACAAGAAATTGCGGCGGCATTCATCAGTTCTATAACAAGCTCGAGTGGGTATCTACTATTCTCGTAAAACGCACACACCCTTGAAAAGTCAGATCAGGAGCACTATACGATCCGAGGATACTCACTGACTACCGCGGGACATACTTTCAGCCACGACAAAACAAGCTCAAGCAACTGAATATCTACGACACGGCAGAGAATGTGTTCAAGCTCACCCCAATGCACGAACCATATTGGAAATTGAGACCTGGAACACTCGCCTGCGACGGCCCTCCTGACTGACAGTCACTGAAATTGGGTGTGTTATTTTGGCGGCCCTTCAGCGTTCAATTTTTTTTCTAAAGCGATTTGCCATGTCGCTTGGTTGGTGTCGATGAGCACAGATGCAGATTTCCAAACCAAGCATTCGCAACAGCTGGACTCACTGCAGATCAACTAAATGTCGGGAGTCGACCAGAGTGGACCAAATCAAGACTACTTGTAATCTTGTCGCGAGCAGGATCTGTGTCCCAGGATGGTTTGTATTTCATCCCATAGCAGTCACTATCATCAGTACCGGGATATCGAACATAGCTATTGCTTGTTAATAGGTATTCAAGTGAATGAACTAGGGGTTCGCTGTGCGAACTTATGACCTTGCTCCGTTTTGAATTTGATCAAGCACACCCCAATTGCAAGTTTTCTAACTACTGGTACGTAGATTATGCTCTTCTTTATGCTATTTCGTTGTGTTCTACGAAGAACGATGTCGCCTCAAAATTACGAGCTAAGTACGATATCAGAACTAAAAGTGGATGCTCAGTCTGAAATGGATTTCAAGGGAATGTGTACTGTGCCTCGTAGAGTCTCGAATTTGCCTTGATATGGCTGTGATGTTGTTGTTGTTGTTGTTGTTGTTGTTGTTGTTGTTGTTGTTGTTGTTGTTGTTGTTGTTGTTGTTGTTGTTGAAGCAAGTGCAATTAAGCTGCGAGAGCAAGTGAAATGATCTTCGATTCTACAGCATGACTATGTATAATTAGTTGGATTGTTATGAAGTAAAAATGAGATGACCTCCTATCCAAGATCCTGATAACATTTTGCATGTCGACGATTGGCATATGATGATGTTGGTTGTGTTCCAAGAAGAGCAAAAAGTAGCAGGCACCACAGGTGATCATAGAAATATGGTGATCCGAGATGTGACTGGAGAGATGCTACATGTGACTGCCAACGTATTTGAACTAAGGGCGAGTGGAGTCAAGGACTCTTAGGTATACCTGACAGACAGTGAGATGTAGATGTGTGATATCTGTTGAGGTAAACCATCAGGATCCTTTGCTGACGACTTTGATTATGAGCTGAAGAGTCCACATGCTAGATGATTTGCCCGAGATCGCAGATGACTGTCTTAAATATGCAGGACCGGTCGTATTACAATTCAGCTATCTAGAAGTTGTTATTTAAAGGCTTTTCGTGGCTATTCGTCGTATTCGTCAAAAACTGCGTCAAATATGACCCCCATGTTTCTGGTGATTTCTGAATAGGCCATGTCCGAAACAGCTATCCGGATAGCCTCCCTTGTTGCAGTGTACTCTACAACCTCTTCACGGGCCCTCATGCGGCGGCCATTAATGATATATCTGAGAGCCAGGTGCTGCTGTCCAACAACCTTCCAAGATTCTGAGACGTTGGAATCCTGCTTTTGAAGAATCGCCTTTGCTTCAGCTATCATCGCAGCGTGCATGTCTCTCTTATCTCCTGAAGTTGATACCTCCTTCGACTCTCTCCACTCTTTCCAGTCCTTGTAGCCACATATGACAGCCAGCTGATTGCGACCCATGTCGATGAGTATCTGCAAATGGATCTTGCCGATAACGTCGTCATACTGCAAGGTCCATGCATAAGTATGAAAGTGATAGCAACCAGAAACAAGACTGACCCCACTAGCCCTCATCAGAAAACCTTCACAAGATATATGTTCGATCAAAGTTGTTTTCAAGAACACCTTCGATGTTGTTTTCAGGTTTGTTGTTGATGTCGAAGTTGCTTGTAAACAAATTTCAAGTTTCCGTTTACAGATGGCTGAGTTTCAATTTACTCCAGTGCCCACCCTGAGGTCTATTCTACATTCCAGCTTTGTCTGCCACATGTCGGGGTCGGTGACATGTTCTAGTTGGTTGAGCTGGACCGAGCACTCCGCCAAGCGTACAGTACTCGTGTGTAGTACTTCATTTCCGGGAACTCCAAGGTAGGACTGTAGATGGTTGTGCATGAGTCCGGATACAACGTTCGTATCCCCGAGTGCCGTCAACCCTTGAATTAACTGTGTACCTTCACAATACTAACTCGACACGAGTTAGAGCGGTACAGTGCAGTGATTCGATTTGTTCATTCAACTCTTGCGTCAACCTTAACATCTCTATGTCATTAGAGTTTATTTTAGATTTAATATCTCTGCACTACCGGCCTTGTCAATCGCAGGACACTGTGACCTCGTTCGGACATTCAATAGTCAGGAGATGGTTTTTGCTCGTAATATACTGATCACATTGAGTAGCATTGGCCGCGTTTGGCCAAGGGCCTTTCGCACTACTACCATCCTTGCCCAAAATATAAAACCTCAGAATGTGCTCACCCGCGCTCGGTGATGATTCCATTTGACTTTGTGCTCATACCCAATTCATTCTAGAACGTCGGGGATGCTCGCGACATCACAAGGATTCACCAAATTCCATACCTTCTACCCAATGGCCTTTCACTCGTCAATCAACTGTGCCATTCAGCAAGCGTGAACCCGGAATTCCTACCATCAACGCTGGTCCTACCGCTTCCAAATTCGCTCTTCCCGTCATTCACTCGCAAGTCTGCTAGTTGGGGAGTCGTGTTTTCCAGGCACGACTGTTTGTGAGCCGTGCTCGTTATGGGTAGTGTCGTGCTCTGAAAACCCTCTCAAATACCTCACACTCGAGGACTTCGGTTTTGTGCTTATTTGACGTCTGGCTGTCTCCTTTTCAGCTTTCTCTGATCGAAACAATTCATTGCTCTCGCTTTGCCTTCGCATCAGTTGCATCGAGCATTGACGTGTCACGTGACTCGCGGCACTGATCATAACATCAAAGTTTCTTATCGTTTCGATCTTTTCTCGTCTTTCGGAGACATCAGACTCTCTTCTTCTTGGCTCTCGGCCAAAGCCGAACACCAACCGAAGCCCCTCCCCTAACTGGTGAACCTCGTATCTAGTCTTCAGTCTTCACCACTCGATGGAGTGACCACAGACATACTCATATCTCACGTCGAGCATACCTCACAAATAACGGCTCCCGGTTATTTGTGATTCACTTTACAACTTCTAGCTAAACATAGCAACTAGTAAGCCCAATAGTCTGTGCAGTCTGTGCGTGTGAGAGCACTGCATTGCTTGTATCCATCAAAAGTAGCGCTCCAAAGAATGATCATATACATGTACAATGTGAGGAATGAACATTAGGTCTGTTTTTTTAGTCACTACAAAAAAAACTGGGGTTCATTGAATCAGAGACGATGATGCTCGTATGATGCTACAAACACGCAACAATGGGTAAATCATAGGCATGTGATAATCAGTTCATGGAGGCTCTGTCGACAGCTCCTTTTGCCAAAGCCTCTTCTCCTAACAAGGTCTTGAGCAACGTCTGAAGCGTCTTCTTGTCCGCACGCTCAGGACTGAGTGTTTGCAGGGCTTCGTGTATCGTGTTTACATGGATGAGTGGAGTATCGGTTAACAATATGTTACGCAACTCATTGAAAGAAATGCCGTCGCAACTGAAGGCATTAATGGCTTGCTGCATAGCCACTAAGGAGAAGAGCGATTCTGGGGCGATGTCATCGTCTCCAGTCAACTGGTCATCTTCTTGTGCTGGAGTGGAAGGTGAATCATCCTGATATTCAACCATGGCATCAGGAGTATGGTTAGGAGGGGTGGTTGATGTAGTGAGCGGATCCCCCTGACTCTGGACTCCAGAATGTTGTCCCCTGTCCAGAACAATGTTGTTCTCTGTATCAAAACTATGTCCCCTTGATGTTTCCTCTGCCTGATCTACATTCATGTCGGATGACATAACGTCAGCAGGAGGCGTCGGTCGAGTATCAGACACAGAAGCGCTGGAGTGTTGTTGTACATGATTTGTCTTGCCGGTGGCGTTCGGCAGCGTGACACTCCTTTTACCTTCAATGAATCAAATGTGAGGTGGGTACATGGAGCAAGCAAGAACCTTACCTTTGCGACTATTCAACCATTTCAAACGATGACTATGCGCTGACTGCAGCGTTGTGATCACCGTGTTGGCTTTGACCTTCTTCATAACCCAACCCCACAGCTTGCTATCCTTCGCATCTGGATCAGAAAATCGACTGATACTTTTACGAAATATGTCGGCAGCGTTATTGGGGTTGTTTTGCAAGTTGCGCAGGTAAGCTCGCACCGCAATTCTTGCATCCATTTTTAGAAACGGGTTATCAGACTCTAAACCATCTGAATCAAGGTATGGTATGTAGTCCCACGTCATGAATGCACGTACCTGGACCCATGCTGTTCACCCGCTGAGCGAGCTCCAAATCTAACTCATCGCCCACTAGATTACTGAAGTCGTCCCATTTCATCTCGCCATCAAACAGCTTGTCGACGCGCAACGACCACTGTTGTCGCGTCTCATCGTTGGGCAGCATGTCCATAATTTCTCTGAGGAAGCTTTCACGTTCGATCTCCTCATCGTCCTGTAAGCAATAGTACAAAAAGACCAAGGGTTCATCGAGCGTGAATCCTGCAAGACAACACAAGACAGGTTAGTTCAGGCAGAAACCAGAATTAATCTACTGCAGACCATTGCGTATAAACTCCTCCTTTCGTTCGCTCATAAATCGGATTGGAGGCTCATGGGACTCATGCCACTTGTCTGGCAATTCCGCGTTTTGATCATGTGTGATGTCGACCATCTCCCCTCCCTTGGTAAGCTCCTTGAGGGCTAAATTCATCTCTTTCTTGAACATCTCTGTCAGGTCAAGCCCCCCTAGCATCCATGCGTCGCCCGCCTGACTAATGCTCAATGAGATGTTATCCTCCTTTACGTCCCAGCCCGTTTCTGAGATTATCACAAGTTAGTGCGTATGCACACGTGCGCATCGGGAACGCCTACCGAACAGCTTCTTGTTCCTCGCATACAACGGATCCGCTTCTAAATATTTGTGGGCGTCGTCAGGCAACTCATCGAACTCAAGGAATAGCCAATCTCGATAGTTGCGAATGAGGAACTCGTCGAGTGATTCAATCCGGTCATCATTCACGCCGTTTGCAATACACTCCTCCAACACCATTCTCCTGGCAACCATAGCTTGAAGGAAACGTGCACCAGCATTCTTGCGAGAGGTGTTAATCAGATCTGTCCTTTTTCGTTGTATTTTTATATTTGTCTTCTTCGTCTTCCTCTGCTTCTTCTTCGACTCACCATCCCAACATTTCCATATGGCGAGCCAGTGCTCTACACAGTAACAAAGATAAAGCCATGATGACAAATATCTGCTCGGGAGTGGCACATAGCCGATAAGCTTCCCGTCCTTTACAGCAGGAACCCGCAAACACGCAAGCTGACTGGAATCCCTTGCACCATAGTTAATCAGTTCCGGAACGCCATAGTGGATCCTGTGCGGCGCGCGTGCGTCCCATTGGGCCATAGGCAGCTCAGCCTTAGAGACAGGAATGCGGAAAGCACGGATGGGTTGAGGAAGTGCCCTACTGATGGCGACATGTCTTGCCCCAGATTTTGCACCAGATTCTGCCCCAGATTTTGCCCCAGATTCTGCCCCAGATTTTGCCCCAGATTCTGCCCCAGATTCTGCCCCAGGTTTTGCCCCAGATTCTGCCCCAGGTTTTGCTGCCACCATCGCACGATGCTGTGCGCGAACAGGTTGAAAGTGAGGTTGGAAGTGAGGTTGGAGTACCTTGCCAAGATGTTGTGGCCTGCGGCGGGATGTTTGCTTTGTGCGAGCCATTCGGCAAATGTTAGAACGAGTGGGGCAAAGCTGTTCTTGTAAGTTTGATTGATCAGAAAGAGATGTGGGGATGACATAACGCGTAAAGCTCGACGACTTTGAACCCCGCCGGGAATATCCGATATGTATGTTCTCCACAAACAACTCCGAAATATCTAGTACATACGCATGCTGTGTCCGTGTTCTTGTAATGTATTCACTGGGTATAGCCGACGAGTATTTGTTGCATGAAAAGATGTGGGAAGGTGGTCAGGTTGCATCAGGTTAAACCTCTGACAAGTCCAGTGTCTCGCGCATTAGCCATGTACGGCAAACTCTATAGTATAACTGTGAACTATCCAAATGATAAAAATTTGACTTGCTCAAACATCTAGCTGGCTGTGGAAAAGTGATTTAGTCCAAGGCTAAAACTACATGTGTGAAGTCCATCAGTTCAACCTTTATCTCGCTCTGTTTTTTGACCATTTTATGCTACAACTAGCCAGTCTTAGGTGCCCAGCTAGACCCATGTCGAACAAGCCATGTGATACTGACCAAAACGGACGTGACGCGAAAAGAAGAGCGCCCATATGATGACCTCGCCATGGGCCCTGTCTAATATTATCTGCATGCGTTGAACTTGACTTGTGCACTTGATATATCAACCATGAGACGCGAAAAGAACTTGCAGACGCTCATATGAATTATATATAATAGCAACACTCGAAATAATCTGATATCAGATGCGAGAAGAAGCACGCTACTGGGGTAAGTAGAAGAGATCCCTGACTTGAACTTGAGGGTTTGTTACAATAGATGTAGTAGCAACGCTCGAAGTAACCTCATACTTACGACGCGAAAATAAATGAGTCCGAGTCTGCTGCGCACTGCCAGGGTAGAAGCAAAGTCTGAATTCAACTTAAAAACTTCACTAGAGCATACAGACAGACAATCCATCAGATACCTTCGCTTAATAGGGTCAGGGAGCCAAAAGCGAGGAGCCGCGGTAGTCCGAGACGTTTTTTTTATTCTATCTTTTAAAAAAAACCATTTCACGTCCGACGCGGTGACAAGTCAGATGGACATTTCGACGAACATTGGTGACAAGGACGTGACGTTTGTCCGTTGTCCGTCCGTTCGTTCGTTCGTCTGGCAGCCGAGTTAAGAGGATATTCGAAGTAGTTCCTGAATGGGTATGGGATGAAAGTCGTCGTAGTCGTCAACTGCCAGTGTTTAGTCGGGAAGTGCACAAGATAGTTCAAATCGGTGGCGTTGATTGCGTGCTAGGTAATTGCACAAAGTCTCCGCGGTGACGTTACTCCATACATCAGCTGGTGTTAGCTGGAAGGTTGCAGACGAAAAAGTGTAAAGTGAATGGCCAAAGTCATCATGAACGTGAGAGAATGCAACGTCCGATCCAGAAGCGCAACAAGATAGCAAATCTAGTTGTATCGGTCGCATGCCAGGTAAAAATTTAGACGTGTGCATACATGTACATGATGGAAGGGATCGAAGTCCCTGTCAATATCGACTCTTGAGCATAATGGGTCCAGTCTAGAAGCTTACGAGATGGCAACTCTAGCTGCGTTGGTCGTGTGCCAGGTAATTGCGAGGGATACGTAGGACCCCGGGGTCTGGTTTTAGGATCATCGTTCTCACAGAAAGTGAACCAGAGGGATTTTGATTTTTTGCCTGACAAGGATCTAGAGTAACGTAGCTCGACGCATCCGCTCCGACCAATCTTATACGCCTATCTTTAACCCTTGCTAGATCGATGATGCGTCACTGGCGGGATTTTAGCGATTTGATGTAGTTTGATTATCGTGGGGGTTTGGCTGAGCGGAGGAGCGCTGAGTATTTTTGCCATTAAAATTTGGTCGAACTGGTAGGAGATGTGCTAGTTCGGGTACCGGTGGGGTTGGATGCGACGCCGTAGGTTAGCTTTTGGAAGTGCAAGGTGAAAAGACATGACCCGGCGGCTGAACTTGTCGAGGGTCAGGGACGCATTACTGCGTACGGATGATGTTTCATAACACTGACGGAGCGGAGTAAATACACCGCCTAGACTGTCAAGCAGGCGATGCGCCGTGATCATGTGATTGAGAAATTTTGGAAAAACTATTGGAAGGTTACAAGACCAGGAGATACTCACAGGATGGTCGCAACACATTAAAAAAACTTGCCCCGTTCCGCAGCACTTTGACAGTATTGCTGTGGAATGCCGTACATCTGTGTTATTGGAATGATCTTGGACACTTACGTCAGACTACAACCACCGCCCATTCCACACAGACACCTTGAGGCACGTCCAAGAGAGAGAGAGGCCGGCAAGAAACCGATAGAAGAGGCACTGTAATGAGAAGGTAAGTAAACAAGGCAAACAGATCTATAGCTAGACTTGAGCATTTGCGACGAAACCCTCAGACCTGGTATTTAGTGTCCCCTCCGTACATCTGACCATATCAGCAATTTTCGGGTGATCACACATTACAGATTATTTTTTTTTTGGTGCAACGATGTTATCAACTAGCAACTGACAAGGTCAATCCTAGAAGATACGTTTGGGGTACGGGGATTTCACCTGCAATACATTACACATATCTCGCAAATAGCAAGTCAAACTCACCATATATTCCGAGGGTTGTGACATGTAGTTGCAATTTGATAACGTCGTCTAGTCACGGGGTGTGAATGGGTCGGCGCTGATCGTCTATTCGAGGATAGTTGTGTAGAGATGAAGCAGCGTTGAAGTCATTTTGTCGAGGGCTATGACCAAGGTGAACTAGTTTATTTTGATGGATTTGTGCAACTTTGTCAAGTCACGCATTAAACGCTCATGTGTGGTTGTGTGGTGGTTTGTTTGGCGCTGAGGATTTTGTATATATTTGCCACTCAATGTTCAGCCTTTCGTCCAACTTCTCAATCTCCCACATTGTCAGGTACTGTGAGGGTTGTTTGGGTCATGTGGATGCACTCCTGACAAGGTGTGTGTGTGCTCTGGAGTCATCCAGACATCTGCGCATCCATGTGACATGCCCCTGTCAAGGGGCAGCAATCCAGTCAGACATGACTCTGTTGGGCGGAACTCTGGAGGCTCTGAACTTGATGAAGAGAATATGGCTAGAGTCAGGTTGTTTGGTGATTTGGACGTCCCCCTTGTCAAAGGAGGTGTGCTCTGGAGTCATCCAGACATCCGTGCACCCATGTAACATGCCTCTGTCAAGGGGCAGCAAGGGCTATTTTTTTTTTCTTACTTCGATCACTCTTCTTCGCCTTGGCACTGAAGTTTGGCAACATCGATATATTCCTTTCATGTTTCGGCATTTCTAAAACCAGACATAGTTTTAAATTACAACCTAACACATGAACTATAAATTTCCTTCGATGTTGATGTAAGTCAATACATGAAATGAAGGGCGCCTGAATTGGTTGTGAAATGAGTGGCATACATCAAGTTCATAACATAAGGAAATTGTGCAGCATGGAATTTCTTGACAAGCTACCAACTGCTTTTGTATGACATGTCGGGCTTTCAACTGGGGTCCAATCATTGAACGACAAGCGCGACGCGTCCATCACGTGCGATATGCATATATACTTATACCTTCCCTACTCCGAACCAGGAGAACGGCTGCACAAACGAACCAAAGCTGACTACACGCAAGCAAGATGGGTGAAATTCAGTACTCAGCGCCCAGCGCCAGTGAAAATCGACAAGAATGAGGTAGATATGTAGAGATAGACGTCTAAGTACAGATTGAGGCAGATACAAATCTAAGAAATTTGAGACGGCAAAGCTCTGATTTTGTGCAAAATGCCCATTTTACTACATTAATGTCCCTGTTCTTTAGCTCAAATCAGCTGCCAGGACTACCGACGATCACGCGGACGAGGAGTAAATGGCGGGCAGGCGAGGCGCAGCGTTACTACACCGAATAATAGCGATACCCGTAGATAGCCTGATTGGTCCGCATTAGTTGTACAACGAGATGTTTTCAAGTCAAATCGAGTGATAGTTTGTAAGTAGCATGCATCTAAACATCACTATTTACTTGTGCTATAAGGTATCAATAAAGACCACAAAAGTAAAGTGATTATAAAGTTCGAACCAAAGAAAACAAGCAGGTGCAACCATTTGGAGTACTCTCAGTAGTAGGTGAGGTACGGAAATTCAGAATTCCGAACAGACGATGTTACAAATGCTTAGCCAATATTTTATTGTGAGAATCTATGGACACAGGTACTAGAGTAGTAGACTTTTGAATGAAACTTGATTTCAATTTCCTTTGTTTGCAGCTAGGACACAACAGCCAGTAGAATAAAACCACTGATCTACAATGTGAGCTGCTCCCGATTGTCGGCTATGTGCCGGCCAGTGACCGTTAGCGAGAAACCCTCTATTAAATTTGATGTTGTACATGGGTTTGGATTACTAAGCTACAAAACCCTGGGGTTTCTTATCCTATTAGTCATTCAACTTTCCCAAGCGTTTGGTCGGAGGTTGATCTGAGTTTCAAAAATGAGCTCGCCTAGATCTGGGTAGCCAAGATATCAATATCGCTTTAAGCGTCTTGTCGGTGCCATCATCCCTCAACTTGAACATCATGCCCCCAAAAGGTCGTGCTGCTGCCATTCACCTCGGAATCGCAGATCTCCCCGCATCCAATAGATATCATGTTCGGCTGAGGCAGTGTTGGCGTCGAATGCCAACACATTGACACCAATGCCTTCATGCGTCCATGTTCAACAGATAGTAGTGAATGAGGGAACAGTAGAAAGGAAACAGAAACAGAGAAGAGAAGAGATCCCGGCGGTATTATGGCAAGAGAAAGCTGCAAACCAGTTTGGTAGCGAGTAAAGAATTCCCCTGCAGGCCGAGAGACCACACCATTTTCAAACATGTAGGCAGATGTACTTCTACGCAACAAAACACTGACATTCCTTATCATAGTGTATACTCACTATGGTCCTTTTCCAACTCCTCGAAAATCGAAAAATACCGAGCCGCGTGCTCAACACGGGTCAGGCGCTGAACTTGGGCTTCACGCCATGCCTCAGGACTTTGCTGCTTAAAAGCCTTTTCTGTGCGGAATCCATACTCAACCCATCTGACGAGACCCCCTGCAAAATATTGAGTAAAAGATAACCTTTTCTCCAGCGAAGAAATAGGGATGTTTCCATGCCGTAGAATGGCCGAGGGGATCAGAATGGTGGCACCGGGCGGAAATTGGATGATGAGTCCAAGGTCAAACAGGACCAAGTGGCCGCCAGTGATTGGGTCGAAATTTCCTAGGGCAGTAATGCTACACATCCCACTGGCAAAATTTACATTGTCGGTGTGATCAAAGGTGACGGTGGCGGGTCCAAGATTGAACGTGGCAGCAGCAAAAACACTATTACGAAAATTCCACGTGAGATGCGCGTGCATACTCTTGAGAGATGCTTTGGTGTCAGTATACACCCTATGGACCTTGGGTGCATAATGACAAAGTATGCCTTTCAAATGAATGAACGAATGCACAAAACAGAATCTTAGTACTCACTACTACCAAAACCTGCCAACCTTTGAATGGTTGGTTCAGACAGAAGTGCCCGAAGCTCCTCTTGGTTTCTGTTGGAGTGTTGAAGATTGTCCGGCTCCTGTGTAAGTGTCAGTCTGTTGATGCAGACCGCTTGAGTGTGATAGTTAATATACCTGTTGACCACCCCCATATGAGACTCCAACACCCAGGCATGGGTAGAATCCCCGCCGGTGATGGGTATCAGATAGCTTGAAGGTGCAACGTTCCCGTGCAATCTCCATTGCAGCGCAGGCTTGGGATGTTGTAAGCTGCCAGCCGTCATCCTGTGGTTGACCAGCTAGAACGACGATTACCCTTCTGTTCTTATCCAGTAGTGTTTTGGGCGATCTGGCGTAAGTCAGCCCGTGACCCTGCATGGAATCTTCCTGAGTCACACACCTTCCATCCCACTCCACTAAGCGAAATCCTGTGTTAAGTAGCGTTTTCAGGTCTTGCACTCTGTCGACGCTCTCAACTCGTTTTCCAACATATGCTCCATATGCTATAGGCATATCCTGTAGCGAGATCGGTGTGGCCATTGGATGTTTAAGGACTCGCTTGGATGTCAATTTAAGTATAGGTGCATAAGAGTTGGCGGCCTTTTCTCGCCTCTTCCGTCGACGACGTGAGTTGCTGCCCTTCTTTTTATGGGATACACCCTTTGCAATTTGTTGCTGTCCATTGCTAATATGTGTACGACGGGAGTTCTCGACTAGATTGGTGGCACATGTATTGGAGGACAAATCATCTTCATGATCAATTGCTTCGCGAACGATCATATCTGGCTCGTAGTCCTTCATTGTCCCACAAGCGAGTGCATCCTGCCACTCAAAGGCTCTGTTCAGAAGAGGAAGTAAATCTTGGTCAGTATTCAAGAAGGCTGTATGCATGTCGTGTCCGTGCTGTATGAGTAAATGATGGCAGTGTCATTCGAGGCGTAGGATACTCTTGCACAATCAACTAACATCACGTGATCACGGGTGACTTTCGTGTGAGTTTGATTGGAATGAAAATCCGACGAGCAAACTCAACGCAGCGGTATTCACAAGGTGAAGGAACTACGCAGAATGACATACAGCCTCGCAGTGACACCCATGACAGACATTCGCATTCAATCTTTCACTCGCATTCACATAAATGAACATGGCCATGCACATGATGCAGCACGGATAGTCTTCAAACTGCTGGTAAGCTGTGATCCCCCTAGCTAGTCGAAGCGTAGCTGATTATGTATTAGGCGACAGAGGGAGCCGAATAGCTTTTGTAGGGCTGTTTGCCAACATGACTTTGACCGGTGCCAAAGGATTCGCTGGCTGGCACATGAGTGGTCCGAAGATGAATAGCGGTTTCAAGAGGTAAGCGTTCATTGTGCATGAAACACTTGACATGCATGCTGATCGAGTATACCAGAGGGACTTATCATCGCGAACTACGAGTGGATCAACAACGAGGAAATTTCGAAAATCTGATTGCAGCGGCCGATGACTTGGACACTCATCATTGTACAGGGATGCTCAATTCATTCAGTTCGCGTTCACCTGGGAGCCGAGTTTGGTTGTTCAAGCTTAACCGCTTCATTTCCGCCTCCGTAAATTAGTTCCAAGGCCGAAGCGGGCCAGACGTATCTTATAGTCTATCATTCTGATAATAATTCCAGTACTGTGCCAGCAATGGACTACTATCATAATAATGGTAGTAGATACAATCCAGATCAGTTTCGGAGTGGAGTCCATCAACAGCAGGAGTGGGAGGCAGCCTTGATACAGCCAACCTACTGGCCATAACAGAATGTAAAGTTAAAATATCCCTGTAATCTTGCTTTCGTAGCTGCGCACGGGGCATATTGATCACTGTTGAACGTCGAACGACGCGTTGAATTGGCATTGACTCATGAGAACTGATAACAAAATCGCCATGTAACGGCCGGCGTGCGGTTCCAAATAAGGAGTTGTAAGCGTCGGTAATCAGTTTCGTAACTTGCTCGGATCCCAGGTGAACGCGAACTTTTAGAATTGAGCATCCCTTACATGTAGAAAACGAATTCGGCTGTGTTTAAAAATATACCATACGTGTTGGATTGCAATTGATATTGTGATGTATTTTCATGTGTGGTTGTGTGGTGGTTTGTTTGGCGCTGAGGATTTGTATATATTTGCCACTCAAGTTTCCTCTCAACCTCCCACACCGTCAGGTATTATGGAGAGTCTGGTTTTTTGTGGACGCCCCCTGACAAGGGAGATGTCAATCAGACACGTGCGCATCCATGTGACATGCCCCTGTCAAGGGGCTGCAATGCAGTCAGACATGACTCTTTTGGTCTGAGTTCCATGTTGTGCGAGAGAATCTGGCTAGAGATGTTTGGTGATGTGAATCCCCCCTGACAAGGGAGGCGCTCTGGAGTCATCCAGACATTTGTGCATCCATGCAGCATACCCCTGTCAAGGGGCAACAATCCAGTTGGACATGGTGCAGTTTGAGCTGTAAAGTGAACCTGCGAGCACAGAGCTCAAACTAGTGCTTACTAAGCGAATGAGCGCTATGAGCTGTAACGCGCAGTCATACACGCGTATCTTATATTTATCCTTATTGCACTCTCTCACTCGCTCGTTTTTCTCATATTGAGCATTCGGCATTACCAACGTACCGTTCGTAGAATTATTACTGCTATTATGACCTCTACAGAGACGCCGAATCTTGGGCATCCTGAAGGAGCCGGAAGAAAAGATACATGATTCTTTAACCGGCAAGACAATGACCTTTTTGTCCGACGAGTACGCGTCGAGGACTGCATCATCTCTCGCTAAAAACAAGCAGAGACGCATCAATCTTCACGATCGGGAGGCAGTGGAAGAAGAAATCATTGCGCGTGCCGAACGCAACTTGAAGAGAGCGAACCGAAGGATGGACGAAAACTATATCGAAGAAGTTTCTGACGACGAACATTTTCTGGATGAATCAAATGTCCAGGAGACGGCTCCTGTCGTTAAGCCTTCTATCCCGAGTTTCATAGCGGACGCTGTGGACTTCATAGGTTCACTCACACCTACCACCAGGTCTATTCTTGCTTCAATGTCGGTTAAGGCTTAAACGCTTGCTGGAACGAGCCATCACTGCGCTATGGATTTATGTGAAACGTGGGTGGGTGACCCGTGGGTACGAAGTCTACCGTAGGTAGACATAAGTACAATCACGTAAGGTATACTGGTGAAGGAGAGATATGGATCCTATAAGTATCCGAGGTATAAACACTATGGCAAGGTAAACTAGCGTATAATACGGATACATATAGTACACTCGAGGTCGACTAAGGTGTGCACACTATGACCAGATAAACTAGTATATAATATGGCTACATATGGTACACTTGAGGTCAACCAAGGTGCGCACACTATGGCAAGATAAACTAGTATATACTACGGCCACATATAATATACTTGAGGTCAACTAAGGTGTGCACACAGCCATTTGAGGTGGTTTAATATGCATGAATTAGGACAGGTAGCCACGTTGTGAATACATCATGTATCCTGATATAGGTCGAGTACAAGTACACAGCCGCTACACTCCTTCTCCCAAACCCCATCCCTGAGCCCCAATTTGAGTGTATATACCCAGTAAAATGCGCACCAGCGGTGGCAGGCAACAGCAAGGTCCTCCACCAGGGCCCCCTCCACCTCCACCATATCCACCCCTGTCTGGCAGTCCAAACGATCCCCCACCAGCACCCATCGCATTGCACAACTTGCTTGCGAACTTGACGCCAGATGTTCTACTTGCTCTTGCAGCAGAGGCGGTATAGGGTCAGCCTCAGCAGAGTCTACCCCATCAAATTCGCATACCTCAATCACTGCCCTCTAGCAGACAACATGCTATTCAGCCAGACTTAGAAACTGCGTCGGATGTGCAGGTGCTACGTGGTATATGCGAGAATCTCAGCAGGAGGTTGATCGCCTGAAACGTGCTCACAGAGATGACGGGGATGATGCAGATGATGAGGATGAGCCTACAGATAAATATGTGCGTCAGAAGAAGAAAAGAAAGTTGACAAAGGCACGGACATACCTTCTCAACCCATTCTGAAGTACATTCAGAACACTTGCAAAAAACCTCAGTTTTATGATAAGTCGCATACTAGTATATTTGCGTCAGTAACAGTGAGATTTCCCAAATGTAACATGTGTACTTACATCGCCTTTCGTACTTCGATTTTTCTCCTTCTTGTTCTTGGCCATGTGCAAGGTTTAGTGGATGCTGGTTCAGGGTAGTACTACAGGGATGTTTCCTGCGTTCATTCCGTCGTACTTAGCGAAAAAATGAGCTCGTCGATATATTAACGCCCGAGGGCTAGTACAGCAAAACAGAAGAGATCTGTGCTGATCTCGTTGCTAGGGTGGTACAAAAAGATATCATCCTCCCACATACCTGGGATGAGGATCCCTCACCCAATCTCATCCTTGGTCGTAGGGGCCTGGTAGAAGTTCTCTGCGTATGGTAGACACAGTCAAGGCAGGAGAATCTGAACAGAGGTACGCATACCTTGGCAACCGTCAAGTTATCATACCATTTTGGGACGGTAGTCCACTATAAGAAGCTATATCTTCCCACAGGCCATCAGATAGGGACAAAACGCAGTGCATGCAAGGTTGTCCGGTACGTCGGCCGCATCTAACGCACCTGTCTTCACAGAGGCAAACACGCGCATTGTCGGCGGCGTTCGATATACGTCGCGTCCTCTTAAATCTGGCAAGGTCAAAGGCACTTACGTTTCTCGCCCTCTCTTCTCTCCGCAAAATCCACGAGGATCCGGCCTGCGTCAAAATGAAAAAGGGATTGGTCACCGACCCAAACTGTTCGTGATGAATACCTCGTCGGGTTTCCCTCCGGAGAAACACTTCCTGCATCAACGCATTCGTTTGTCTGTTTGCTTTTTCCGGCTAGGGCGTTGTTGCTCCTGTGTCTTTTGACGGGTGATGTAGTGATGTATTATCGCCTGCCCTTGTAGACGCCCGACTGCAATGTTGGTGGTGTGTGAGCTGGAGTCATAAGCTTGCTGCTGCCTGCCTTCACTTATCCTGCCAAGGAAAGTCAGGACCTGGCTGGCAGGCCAGGGATGTCGGCTCCCAGATCTTTTTTTGTGTGTGTTCAATCTATGTCCATCCAGAGTGAGATTCTATGTGGGACAATACTATCCAGTCCCTGCCCAGACTTGACTCTGTAAGCCCTATCTGAGTCTAGTCAGTCAATACTGGGATGGATGGACAGGGATCAGGCTCTGAAGATGATTAGTTGAGATGCAACATGAAACTTTGTGCCACCTATCTTGAGTTTAGGTGATCCACGAATCTTTGGCGAATTGCAAGCACCGTTTTTGTCCTTCCTGATTCTGTCCAAGGATACATAGCCATGCGATCGTCCGCTTTATAGCTGCTAAACTGATTCAACCCTGTATGTACCGTACACTACTACTGGGTATGTGTGTTCAATACTCCACACTGTACCGTTTGCTTTGTTCACTGCCAATCTCATGTACGGTATACGGGTTCACCGTCTACCCTACTTCTACCATATGTGTACGCCTGTCCCCTGTCAGAACCACAACAATAAACGATAAATCTGGTACTGAAGAAGTAGTCAGAGTCTGCAGCTGGAGATACAGCCGCTTCCTATGGCTACCACTTGAAATCCTACGGAAAGTCATCCAATTGATGTTTGACCCAAGTTTGACGTTTATTAAACCCGTTTAACTTTCAGTTGAAAGTACGGGAATTGCCGATGGCGGACCTTTTCTTGGAAGAGTGACTTTGCCGGGCTGCTCGCTATGGTCAACGATGATGAAAGGCTTTGAGCACGCAGCGCTCATTAACTGGGACGGTCCTCTATCACCCAGTTCCTATCATCCTCAATCACCCAAAGACGTACCTTTAACATCATTCCTCAAGTCGACGAGCAGCGCGAAGGCTACCCTTCCATCGTATTCTTCTAGTACATCATCACAAGACGCTAATGACTTTGGAGAAGATTCAGATTGCTATATAATTGATGTTTCATCCTCAATAGAGAATTTATTTGATGCAAACCGCGGTTCTAGCACACGTACTTCAATCAAGGTATCTTCGCGTTACTCCTGAATCATTGTGGTTTACTGAACTCCACTTAGCGGCGCGCGTCATCGATTGAAACGCTTTCAGCCGCACACATGCCTAAACTCTTCCAGCCCTCTAATCTCGATAAGCTGTTTCCATCAATCCAGCATCCTAGTACTCACGACACCTCAGCTGCCGTGAGCACGTCATCCTTTGATAGATTCATCACACTTACGTATCTTACTTTTCCCTTCAGGATGAAGTTTTCACACCAGAGTTATATCTTTCTTCCTCACAGCACAGCACCCTGAGCGTGCCAACTTCGTTCTATGCTTCGGAGTCCAACTTATTCGACATGTCTATATCCCCTCTTTTAGCTCATAACGACGTGATTGAGCTGACTGATGATGAAGACGCTTCCGCACACAATAGTATCAAGATTACTAGTGACATTGACAACGAAAACGAGGAGATGGTTGTAGACAACATGCTTGTAAGTAATTGTGTACTACATTACGCTATTCTCGTCCCTTAAATGACTGTTAACATTCAGACTGAACCTTTTTCCGTGCCCGATTCGTCTTCAGATGGTGCCCGTTCTTTGAGATTGCCCTCGCCCGAAATGGGAGACTCTCTATTCACACCTCCTCCACCTTCCCGTAAGCCTCGCAGACGCGTTATTCTCGACTGTGTATCTGTGCCACCCCTTCCAAAAGACATGACCAGGGTCGATTGCAAGGCGAAGTCGTCCATCAGCAAACCTCAGCAGGGTGTACAGCACCCGTCAGTTATCCAGGCCCTGACCGCTGCATTCGCTCAAAACGACCGGCTGCCATCACCCTCTCTCAGTCGCAAGGGAAAGGAGCGTGAGCATGAACGCCCACGCCCAGCCCCTGCACAGAAGTACAAGCCTCGTTCCCGAAAGTTCGGAGAAGACGTTTCTACAATACCAACGCAGATCCTGGACGCGCAATATCCTGCTATCGAGCTTGAAATTCACGAACTGCCAGAACTTCTACCGCATCACGACAATATCCTGCAGACAAGTACTTATTATATCTACGCCAGATGCGTTCAACGCCTTTACGCACAACTGCACGAAGGTTTACCGCAGATGATTTCGGAGATGAAAGGACCTGCAGTCCCGGATGATGAAAAAGATGAGAAAGACGATGAACCTGTCTTGCCTCATGTTCTTGCACCGCTGTTTGAGGAGAGGCCAGATATCAAAGCGGCCCTTACACCATACTTCGGACGCAGGCCTCGTAAAGGTTCCTCTCGCACAGGTAAAATAAAGAACGATTTAGAGCCGCAAAGTGTCCCGACTTCGTCCAAGTCTAAATCGGGATCCACTGGTACCATCCTTCAAACACAGGACCCTTCATCCTCTAACGTCCCTGACGACATCTCGCACTACACCGCACTGGAAGAGGATCAAATCCTGGACTTCAGCATGGAGATGGATCAGTATTTGAGCGACCTCGGACATTCCCCTGCAAAGACATATTCTCCAGGCATCAAGCACACTCGATCCGCACCGAGTTCCTTCATTGGTTTCTTGCACAATACAACACGGCTGCTCCCTGACGCAGCGTCGGCCATGCGAGAAGATGCAGAGGACAGTTTCTTCGGAGTACCTCCTAGCCCAAAGCTGGTATCCGAACCTCCTTCACTACAGCTCACGGACATGTATGCTACCAATTCGTCGCATAGCCTGGACGCTAGCTTCGATCTTGTGCTTCCTGAGAATGGCCAGGGGTCTTTATTGCCTATCATTGAGAAAAAGAGCTTATCCCCCGAAAGTCTTTCTCTCTCAGACAGCGCGGGTACAATTGATCCTTCGCTGCTTGGTGGAAGTGAACCTCCTCCCAGATCTCCCAAATCTCCCTTACCGCCATCAGTAGGTACTCGAAACTCGAAGCAACTCCCAGCAGTCCCCATCATATACGTGCGCAGACCTCCAGGAGTGTCCTCATCGCAGGAAGCCCCAGCGATCTCGAACAAATCGTCTGGAAAGTCACGAAGAAACGTCCAGATCAAATATCGCACTAGTGAATCGGCCTCTGTTACTGATGAAGGCGACGCGACTAGGTCAGCGAGAAAGCTGGATGACGGGAAGGTTAAGGATGATGGAGGGTGGACTGTTGAAGCTATCTCTACCCCACCTGTACAACCTGGGGCGCAGCCAAGTCTCAAGTTACGGATTCGTCGATCAGGCACCCGTGCAAGTTCTGACGGGTCGTTCACGCCATCAAAAGCTTCGAGTTCGGCTTCTCCCGCTGTACCTACAACTCCACCTCCAAATCCGAAATTGCCCAAGGTCCATGCACCTCTTCCTCCAGCTCAAACCATGCTACAGGGCGATGGCGAGCCTGAAGTTACCAATACTTTTTGTCACCACTGCAGACGTACACAAACCAGACCCAAGATGCAATGTTCCAAGCGCCGTCCAGACCGGACAATATGCGGGAAACGGTTTTGCAACGGATGCATCCTGAACCGGTCTGTCGTTTTATTTCCTTTGTTTCAGCTGCTTTCCTCATTGATTGCAATGCGTCCTCGTGTGGTTACTCAGGTACCCCGATATAGTATTTGCCCCCGATAACAAGGACTTCGTCTGTCCGGTCTGCCTTGATACCTGCAACTGCTCCATATGCTCGCGGAAACGCGGGGAGGAATATATCTCCATGCGTGGAGGCGGATTTGCAGGGTCTCGCACCAAGTCGGGCATTTTGCTTGTGCCTGATGATTCCCGTGTCCAGGACGTCAGGATGACACCTGAACCTCCCAAAAGTACGCCACAGAAAATGTTCTGGGCTCACGTTTATGGTCTTGAAGGCGAACGCGTCGGCCGTGCATTTATCGACGACGCTAGCGCCTCTGCCCCCGTCCGGCACACACAACCGGTCAAACAGCGCGCCCAAAACGTGCAATCGAAACAGAAAATAAAAGCGAAGCTGAAGAAGCCGAAGGTATTCGTTGGAATGCCTTTACGCGAGTGGAAAATTCGCACTATTAGGGATCTTGAGCCTAGCGCTGTGATTTCGCCTTTCGTCCCGGGTGAAAACCACTCAGGGAAAGGCAAGGGTAGGGCTGTCGAACGACCACGAGTATATATCGGCGATGCGAAGTGGTTGTATGTGCCGTATACGCGTATGCCTGTCTCATCATACTCTTCGTGGGCATCATCGCCGGATTCGGAATTGGACTCGGACGGGACGTTGACGCCGTTGGAGGATTTAGAAGAAGGGATGGGGTGGCCGCAGCCTGAGGTGGGGGAATCCGTGACCGTAACGTGGGGGTCGACGCGTGCGCCAGAACGGAGGGTCTAGTTCGTTGTCGGCGGACGATTTGGCCAAGGCTATTGGGGTTGCCTTGGCGGCGACGCGTGAGGACAAGGTGGAGCTGTTGTGTACTTTTCAGTGTCTTTGGCGATGAGCGTTGATGTGAGTTCCACCTCGCCTGTCCCGACTCCCGAGAAGAACTGTTGTCCATGTACCTTAAATTAACATCCAATTCATTACTTTTAGCCTACTTTGGCCCTCATAGTACTTGCCGCCAATGCGCTACAGCTTCGTCTACCATTAATGATGGCATTCAATGCATTATCGTTAGACGCCTTGAAAAATGTTATTGTGCGTAATAGCTGCAATTATAGTCGTAACATCTTTCAGTTAACAGAACATTTCATCTAGTTCACTGCATTGGGATGTGTGTGTCTTGCTATGTATGGTAGGATTACAGTCGATGTGGACAGACATCGCGCTAATCCGAATGCCCGAAACATTCGATCCACAGCGGCCTTGAGTGCGATTCCTCTAATCCTTACTGTGCTTTCAAGTCTCAATCCAGCTCTCCGATCCCCGACGCTCGTAAATTCCATTGTTACACCATACAACAGTCCAACATATCCGCTCTGTATTCTGAATTCAACCCAGTCTAAGACTGGTGTGGTGGTAGTTGGCGAGATTTTACCTCCGGCCGACAGGAGTTCGATTCCTCTTCACTCTATCCGTTACCTTTGAGTATCTCACTCGTTACTGGAGGGTGTACTATAGGATCGGGGACCTGGTGACCACACTCGACAGTTTTCTTCCGTTGACCGACCAATATGATACTCCTTTAGGAGATTTGATCTACAGTGCATTCGTTCTTCAGGAGGCAGTGCGACTGGTCAATAGTACTCCCAAAGGAAGGAAGGGAGAATGCGCTTATAGCGTAGGTGATGAGCCTGGTCGATGCCCTAGCAGGAGTGATGACTTTGATCTACAGCGGTCTTGGCACGGGGATCTCCGCAAATGCTTTTGCCCAACATGGTATAGCAACAACTATTGTTGAAATCGATTCTGCTGTGTACGATGCTGCACGCCAGTATTTTGGCCTATCGGATCCCGGTAGCAATAATATGTTTCTGCAGGATGCGAGAGGGTGGGTTAGAAGAAGGAGAGCTATGGTAGAAGCTGAAGACCCCTCCGCAATCAAGTATGATTTTGTCGTCCATGATTGCTTCTCTGGAGGGGGAGTTCCTGAACATCTCTTCTCCATTGAGTTTTAGGATGATCTCAAGACCATCCTAAGTCCAGAAGGTGTTGTTGCAGTGGTAAGCAGTTTCGGACATCGTGTTTGCCCGTATCACTGATTCTATGTTATTCGGACAGAACTTTCCTGGAAAATTTGCATCCGACTCATCGCAAGCACTACTCGTCACATTGATGCAAGCCTTTGGACAATGCAGAGCCTTCCATGATCATGTTGAGCTCATCCGCCCGGAACAGCTTCACTCCCAATTCGTCAATATTGTGAGTTTCTCATCATTAGAGCTTTAACAAAAAGTCTGACGATCACGCAATAGGTCTTCTTTTGTTCCCCATCTCCAACACCACTCACATTCCGAACTGCAGTTGAAGAGGATTATCTTCATTCATATCTTCGCCGTCACATTCTATCTAGTCTTGACAAACGAGAAATTCATCACTCCCAAATTGGAGACAGCTCTATCTGGTCTGCAACCACGGAAGAAAAGTTCCTTCTGACCGATGCGTACAACACGCTGAACACATGGCAGGAAGGAGAGGCGCTTGACCATTGGAAACGTGCGTTGCATTCATTTTCGATAGTGTAGCTCTGATGTGTTGCGCAGTTATGAGGGAGATGATACCAGACGTAGTATGGGAGACTTATTGATGGCAGTCATATAATTTTATTGCTGTATCCTTTACCAAAATCAGAGACGCCGGCTTAAGTCCTATTCCTTGATCCTTGGGAATAGCTTCAAGGTCGACCTGACAACAGGCGGGGAAGTGTCATGAATGTCAGGATCAACAACGCTTTACAGATTATCGTGCCACCCTATGCGAACTCCGAGGATCGAGAATGGTGTTGGAACCAGGTTAATCACTGATTGATCCTCCTGGGTGTGCACAGCGTGGGTCTACTGGGAAGATCGTAGTGTGGATAATTGATGTGCATGTATGCGGCAGCCGCAATCCAGTGCAAACAACACATGTGAGCCTTTGCATACAATTGTGTTATCAATTTGATACCGGGATTATCATGCGATCTTTAGCTATAGTAGGTTGTGAGAAATTCAGTCCACAAAACTTGCGCAACATTCATAGTATCCAGCGCTTATTTGTGTTGCTGTGTGATCATGGCTCCGAGTCAGATTCGTAAAGGTTCGTCTGACAAGTTTTCTGACAACAGACGACTAAGGCTTAGTCTCCACTAGGTAAACTTTCTTTCTATATCATGGTCAAGGCTGTCTTGAATAATGACTTCCAACTGGGTTCGGTAGTTTCTCTATCATATAATGCTCAGAATGCCATGGTCAGGGCCTCACTTGAACGCTCATAATTGGCAATTGAAAGATATCTCTGTTGCCATCAACCCCCCCCACTACATTGCAGTGCTTGAGTCTGCCAGTGTTATAAGGACTGTACTTTTGCCTCCAGAAGCAAGCATCTAGAAATTTCCCAATCCCTGTCGGCATAATGGGGGACGGTAGAGCTGTAAGTAACTTTATCCTCCCCTTGCCATGTTGGAAACCAACCTCTCCGGATAGGTTAATACCATGTTATCACCGACGCATCCATACCTGTTTCCTATGACATAACCATGGGCGTCCTTGGGGCCGTCCAAACTATCCTTGTTGATACCATCCTGCTCTTTCGCATTTGTTCCGTTTATCCGCCAAGATACCTCACATGGCAACGCTTTGTGATGTTGGTTTCACTGCCTGTTCTACTCAAAGTTGCCCGTGTTATCAATTTAGCTGTCTTTTATCGCAGCCTTGGCAGCCCAGTGGGCAGCAGCTCCATATCTCAAGATTGAGTGGTTCGCGCAATTGGTGGATAACATGTGAAGTAGATGTCTCTCATACTTTTATTGGTGCTCATGCATAGAATATTTCAGATATGCGTCCTCTCTATTCCTTTTGACACTTTGGTCAAAGCAGAAGAAGAACCATAGCTCCGTCACGGGGCGATGCCAAGCGTAAATTTCAATCGCATCTTCATAAATCCCGACTTATTTTTCTTAAGTTTCGTTCAGAATGAGACTCTGGACGCTATTTTGGATCGCGCTTTCAAACTTCATCATTCCAGCGCTCTTTTCGGTTGTCCAGATCATCGTCATTTACTGCGAAGTAAACCCAGCGGTCATCAATCAAACAATGCTGGCAAATATGTCAATTGCAGTTATCGGCATCGTCTTTGCAACAGTATGGGCGGGCTCAGTTAACAGCCAGATCGTTCGATCGGATGCCGAACCAGTTGCAGAAGTCGAAAAATCTGTCGTGAAAGGAAGCGTGATGCATTTTGCGACTCGGGGTACCTATGAGACGCGCGACGCATCACATATAACCTATCAACTTCCGGCAATATCTGGTCTTCGA